ATCGCGTGACTTCCGCTGTCGTAACAGTATTTATAAGTTCTTAAAAGTGCCGCTATCATGTAACCGTTTCGAAGTAGTAATGTAGGTGTGTCAAAAGTAGCATTATTCTACAAGGTAAGGGCGATGAGTGGATAAGGCACGTGCAGATTAATAAAGAGCACAACTGGCGAACACCTGCAATAATTCCGCAGGCTGGTGTCTAAAAATAGTTTCGGTAAAATTGTCTTCACCCCACCATTAATCTCAAATTAAATCAACGAGAACTTAGTTGCAAGGAAGAGGTTTCTTCAACAGTGGTCAGGATCCAGCTAAAAACATTATAAAGACGTAGCAAAACCAGTCCAAAGACCGCTTATCTCGGACTAAATAAAACAAGGTTATTGTTGTACATAAAATGTATCTGCATAATATGAGTGACTTACCGTTATGGAATTAATTGCAGTATCGATTATATTTTTGTTTATTTTTTAGGGGGTTAGGATAATCAAAACATTATTTGTTTTCATCAAAAGTATGTCATGGTGTATCTGGCACTCTTCTATACTGATAAATGTTTTTTGTTTGTTGTTAATCACAAATCCACACAATGAGGTATCTGTGCTGTGTCCACCACATGTATCAAAACCCGGTTTTTAACGACTTATAAATATGCCCAAAACGTTTTACATATTATATGCCAACTAAATATTTCTAGCCTCCTTACTGTTCGATGAAGTATATACAAATACGATGTTGCATAAGAATTTGCTGAATTTTGAAAAAAATATCTGGTAAAAAGTGAATTTATATATATATTTGCTGTTATTTTTTATAATGTCCAATTCTGGCACTTTAATAATGTTCAGTGCACTCATCCTCCCAATAGCATGCTGTTTATTTGCAATGATCAATTTCTAAGTTTCCAAAACCCAGAAATAACGTTGTTAAGCAATGTTTAATCTAATGTTTAATCAATTTCTAAGTTTCCAAAACCCAGAAATAACGTTGTTAAGCAATGTTTAATCTAAGTTTCCAAAACCCAGAAATAAAGTTGTTAAGCAATGTTTAATCTAATGTTTAATCAATTTCTATGTTTCCAAAACCCAGAAATAACGTTGTTAAGCAATGTTTAATCTAATGTTTAATCTAAGTTTCCAAAACCCAGAAATAACGTTGTTAAGCAATGTTTAATCTAATGTTTAATCAATTTCTAAGTTTCCAAAACCCAGAAATAACGTTGTTAAGCAGTGTTTAATCTAAGTTTCCAAAACCCAGAAATAACGTTGTTAAGCAATGTTTAATCTAAGTTTCCAAAATCCAGAAATAACGTTGTTAAGCAATGTTTAATCTAATGAGCTCACAGATGTCTATTCCTAGAAGAAAATAACTATTTTACTTTTTATACCAGGAGAGTAAAAGATAAGTTAATGTATTTCAGTCAACAAGTCGAAGTAACAATTCTTGTAAGGTATCAGTTAACTTTGATTTAAAACTCAGTTTCTCACTTCTCTAGTGTGTTTCGATGGAAAGTTGAGTAATTGTATGCTGATTATTATGCTATGTTCCTATTTAAAACTTGGTAAATTTTCAATGAACTTTTATTGACCAATCAAGGAATGAATAAATATATACTTTCGATCTTTCTAGCGATTGTCCTTCTCTCTCTAAATTGTTTAAAAACACCTTATAAAATCAGGCCTAACAAAATTCATATTCGTTGAGGAAATAGACTGAATGATTGCTCATATATAGATGTACTAAAATCACTGTATTGTGATCAGCGCTCATTGATTGTTAAGTTTGTTTTTTTTCTGTACCGTCAGTTTTTGTTTCAGGACTAGTCTGCTTGAGTTGTAAGTATTAAATTATCAAAATTGTGAGTGGGATTATTCGTCTTAAGTGTAACTAATGTATCAAAAATCGTTTGACTATAGCTTATTCTGAATAGCATTTCATACAAAAATAAAATACAAATTTATATAACAGTAATACCAGACAACATCTTGAGACGTGGATGTGAATTCCTGTTTTCATCATAAATATAATATCTACTACCGAATTTTCGAAATCAACCTATGTATAAGAGTAATTATTAATTCGATGTGGTTTTTGTTGTTTGTTCACTTGTAGTATCATGTCTTTTATTTTTTAACTACAAAGTGCTCATTTTAGCAATAAAAAACGAACATACTTGGTTATTATTTTATAAGTATGTGATCTATTAACAATCTTACACACTGTTCTGTACGGAGAAAAGAAAATTTAAAAAGATTACTCTTCAATTATTTCCTAAAATCATCAGAATAACTTACCCAACAAAGGTAGTCCTCCTAGGGCTGGAAACCCACAGAGAGCTATAGCAAGGCTATGGGCATGAGCTGCTTTTTCTACACCAAACACATCTGCAAACAGAACGACAATCAGTCCAATGTATGATCCAGAGGCAAGGCCAAAAGCAGCAGAGCACACTAACAATGGAATGTATTCATTTGTAAACTGCAACAGGAAAGCAAATACACCAGACAGAAACTGACCCATCACGTACCAATACTTCCTAGGGAAAAGATGATAGTCTGACAACCACGCACATCCAACTCGACCTATTAAATCAGCAAATGCAACAGCCGTTAACAACGTGGCTGCTTCACTATGCGTCAGTCCTATTATTTTTTCTGCATAAAGAGGTAAAAAGTTTTGCGTTCCAGGGTAACCTAACTGGTGAAAACCCATGGAAAACACCAGTACATAAAATCGACTATCAGTAAAAAAAGATGTATCCATATATTTCAGTCTTCCAATCCTCTTAACAAAGACTAAGATACGTTTTGGAATTCTTAATCTCGATTGATATTCATTCTGCAGTGTTTGAACACACTCAGATGGGGAGTGTAAACCAGAATTTTCCTCACTGAGTTCCTCTACAACTGGTACAGCACTAGATGATGGCCCCAAGTAAAACGTACTCAAATAGTTGAGAGACGAAGCCACCGATTCTATGCTTTCGACTTCAACTCGCTCTAATCCATGAATAGCGTCCACACTTTGGGCTAATAACAACGGTGTTCGCTTGTATGGCAAAGTACGTCTTGAAGACCTTCGTGAACACTGTCCACATGGTGAGTCTTTTTTTCTGCTTGTAGATCCTGAATAGTATTCATGTGCTTTTTGATCTTCAAAAACGAAATCTATCACACGTTCTTCTTCGTTATAGCTCGTTTCTTGCCTTGCTATCGCTGTATTAGGACTAAAATGTATATCACAAGATACATTGTTTATAACAATCTCATCTACAGAGGATGATCGTGGTCGCTCACAGGAGGTTGTACGAGAGTTGATAATGTTGCCTGTGTCGCTGGTTGACTGTGTAACTGGTGTAATCGGTAGTTGCGAGAGTAATTCATCTTTATAGTCCTCTGCATTAGGATATTCAGTCTTCATATGCCATTTCACAGGTTGCCACAACATAGCTCCTGCACATGCATGAAGCATCAGACTTCCCATAATAAGAAGTTCTCCAGATAGGTCATAATAGTAAAGTAATTTATCTGCCATAATCGGTAGGATCATTCCTCCGACAGCATTGCCTGCCATGGCAATTCCGTTCCCTAGACCTCGTCGACGATGAAAATAACGGCTTATCATCATCACTCCAGGAGTAAAGCACATCATGGCAGCTAAACCTAAAATGTATTTATTATTGAAGAATATTTCATAATATACATACAATAATCTTTAATTTTTTCAATATCATTTTATATAACTTAAAAAAAACATTTTCTAAAGGTAGGAGACAAAATTAGGAGAAGTTTAGATAAGGTACTAATAAATATTTTATTGTATAAAAATCACTGATTTTTGTTTGTTCATTAGAACAAAGCTACACAATAGGTTATCTGTGCTGTGCTCACCATGGGTATCGAAACCCGGTTTTGGATCTTATAAGCCTTCAGATTTGCCGCTGAACCACTGGACAAATGATATTAAATTAGAAGTGAAAAAGTCATGAACTTAATAAAACTACGAAAAATTAAATAAATATGGTAGTGTTGTAAAGGAAAATTATATTCAATTTCTAATATTGTTGGAATAAAAAATCTACAATAATATCAAATTAAATTATATGCCATCATTACGTCGTTTTTTGTTTGTTTCTTTGTTGTTGTTGTTGTTTTACCCAAAATGCAATAAATAGTTGAAAATATTATAAAAACGTAGTTAAGATTAAACAAAGTAGTTATATAGGCTCTTGCACTGAGAGGCTATCTTTTCTTAATTCTAGGCCCCCCCCAGTGGCACAGCGGTATGCCTGCGGACTTACAACGCTAAAAACAGGGTTTCGATATCCGTGGTGTGCAGAGCACAGATAGCCCGTTGTGTAGCTTTGTGCTTAACTTCAAACAAACAAACTGAATTCTAGTGTCATTCTTATATCTATATTTTCATTGAAAAGAAAATATTTACTGTTATGCAAAACACTACCTATGCTGGGAACTCGTGATATACTAAACTGAATAACAACTGATAATGAATTCAGTTTTACCGTTCTTTACTACTTCATAAGAATAGTATAAAATACCATTGAACTACTGTACTTTATCTGTTGTACGTTGTTATTGATGATTTGGAAGTAGTGGTGTTAACAAAAGCGAAAATATCAACCTGCGTGTCACAGTAGGTCTTATACTGATAAGACCAGAGCCAAATGCTGAAAGTTATCTGAGAGATGACAAGAGGCATTCATCAGGTGAATAAGCGTGAACATTTGATTATACAATACTTCACTAAAATATTGTAGCTATAGGTTGATCAAATAAAATAGTTATCCCGCTACAATAATTTTAGTTTATTTGAGCAAGAAATCTTATGTAATTTTTAGATTTGGTTCATCGAAAAAGAATCTGAGTGCTGTCGAAACAATGTGTAAAAATATTGATGGTGTGATTTTTTTTACTAATTCTTTACTCTTGGCATCCAGCCTGTTAGAATCATATTAGAAAATGACGGTAGCAGATAGTGACCCCTGGTGGTGTCTTGTTATAAACAACCAACTGATTGTTTAACCCATGAGAGTACCAGGAAAAATCATGAATGAATATGAGTAGTCAAGAAAGGCTAGTAGGTCGTGTATAGTCAAGCTAGAGTCAGTGTTATGGGAACTGTTTTCAGATGTTTACAAGATAAATTTATCATAAGCCAATGATGAAATGCTGCAGTCAAGAGACGGTGTATATACCCTTGGCTTCTACACGAATAGAAGAAAATAGAAAGTACTACAGAGCCAACAATAAGTTTAACAGCAATAATTACACATTTATTTGTCTGGCTTGCTTTTCTGTAGGATAAGAGAATTGACAATGGACAACCAGTAATGACGATATATACACCTGGAAAAAAGTTAAGCACCCCCAAATATTTTTCAGGATTGCTTATTGAAAATAAGGTTTAATTTTCATGATGTTGAGGAATGTTCATAATTTCAAACATAATTAAAAGGATTTGAACGTTCAGGTGTGACATTTAAATCAGGCGCGTTTTTTTCCCCACGTGCAACTTGCTCCCTTCTTCACGTCCAATATGCACTATTTTCTCGTGCATCAAATCCGTATTTAAGTCCCGAATTTCTGAATGCAAAATCATTTTAATAAGAATGGCAAGAAGACGGATATCAGAGGCGCAGAGATGGCAAATTATTGGCATGAATTCCGCTGGTATGTCATACAAGGCAATAGGTAGACAGACAGCTTG